TTCTTACTTGATGTTATTTGGTTTAGTCCAGCGCAAGAAACAGGCCACAGCATGTGGCGTGTGGGAGCAAATACACTGTGGACGATATATAGTGAAGGGACGTTTCCTGTGTGCCAACTTCTTCTTCGGGGCATTTTCACTTTCTCACAGCCTTTCTGAAAGTCTGTCATCCTGTTTGAATAGCTCACATGGTACTGCAGGCTATAGGTACATTTTACCCTTGGCCTTCAGTTTGAGATGACAGCATTTGGAGTTTATCAGAGAGAATGATGGGGAAATAGTGGTTTAACATAATAATGTCAGTCAGTGTTTCCTGAACCTCTTTTCAGAAAATGAGTCACCCCTCCACCACTGAATCTTAAGTGCAAGTACAGTGAAATAATGGTAAAACAAACATCTTTTGTGCTCAAACACATCATACTGTACAATTGGACTCTTTTTGTGACTTAAAAACATACAGCACGAGCAGTGTAGTCTAATTCAGTGTTTCCCAACCGGGGTGCCGTCTGTCGAGAGCAGGGGTGCCGTGTAAAAAACACTTTTTAAATATTTTTAAATTGCTAAAATGTTCAAAAAACCAGCTATTATATAATATCCATTTCTGATGTCGCCAATAATTAGAGATGCACTGAAATTCCGGCTGCCGAATATTAGTTCACCGCTCGGGATTCACTTTCACGTGGTGTGACGCTCTGCATATTATCCCGCTCTTTTTTTTTTTGCTCCACTGCTGACAAGACACTTTTGAATGTTGCATACTTAAAACCAGATCAAAGGACAGGCAGAGATGTGAGCAGAATTTTTAACTGTTGTTCAGGGAGCAGCTCTGTCTATATCCATCTCTTTGGAGCTCATCCTAGCATTTCCCATCCCCTGGTGGGAGTAATGGCGTGTGATGTGTTGAGTTCTTCTCTGTCATTTAGACTAAACTCTCTCACAGTGTTATGAGAAATTCACTCTGCTAACACTGTTCAGAGGTTAGTGATGAGCCAAAACTGAAGTGTTGTACATCAATGAGCACTGCCCTTTTCAGCATAATATGGGACACATGTCAGCGGTGTCTATAACCCAATGACATTTTCAGTACAAAATGCCCCCACAATTTTGGTAATGTCATGAAACCTTTTACCACTCTCAGAATTCCTCACTTCTTTCTGAAAATTACTTGAGGAAATCATAATGGCACTTTACACATCCGAAGGTGTCAGTGTTTTCACATAAGACAGAATTCCCAGTGCTCGCACATACTGAGGCTGGTACCATGTGCCAGTAATAAAACTACTAGATTTGTACATTTTCTGAGTAAAATGTGTGTGGTGCTTGGCTCTGCAAACCTCTTTGGATCTTCTGGGTCATTGCCAGGGCTGTTGTAAAATCCCTAACCCTATATGAGCACCAATATTTATTAAATAAATAAATTATTATTTAGATTTTATGTCTGTGTAGAACAAAATACATTATATATATATATATATATATATATATACATTACATATACATTGTATATATACTCAATAAGGAAACGTCCTTGATGCAAATGATCATTTTCAGTTCCTTTAACTGGAAGGAATGGTATTCTGTACCCAAAATTAGAGTAAAATTAGAGTGATCTGCTTTTCTCCACCCCAATTTGTGCATCTGCTTATGAAAATACTAATAACATTTACATTTATTTTTACTTAAGAAAAAACAACAACATTAGGACAAATATTACGCTAATAAATTATGAAATGCTAAAACTATAATTTGGGCCAATATATATATATATATATATATATATATATATATATATATTGGCCCATGATAAAATGGCTGTAGTTTGAATAATATGTATGGTTGTTTGCAGGGAAGCATCCTTGCTCATTTTACTACATTAGGATACATTTGACATTGGTACCTCTGTAATGAGATCTGTTGTTGATATTTAAATGTCAGGCTTAATGGAAAAACCCTCAAGCTCAAACAGACTTGTATTGATTTGCTAGATCCCTTTGTTCTCATCTCATTAATCTGCAATTTGATTTAACACAGGTGCTCGTCTCACATTGACTTTTAGCTTGATTTAGGGACTTGTCACTTTTTTTCATAACACAGAATAACACTGGCTTGTACATACAGGCTATGCAAATCAGTTTTTGAATTTTACTTAAAGTGAGAGAATCAGGTTTGATGTATTCTTTGCAATACTTCCAGATTAGATTTATTTATTTTTAGAGCTTATTTTGCAGTGTATACCACTTACAATTTTATAGACAAATATGCACAGATAAAAAAACGTGGAAACAGTATGCAGTAAATATTTTTTTTTTTTTAAAAGCTAGCCTCTATTCTCTTTGATTTTGCCATGTATTGTATCGTATGGCATTTACTAGAATGACCATGTTTCATTCATCTTGTCAGCTAATGTTCATAAAAGACCAGGTGGAGGACAGCGTGGGAGGCTGGAGTTGGCTCACATTTATGTAGCAGTTAATTAGTTCTTCATCAAAAGTGCTTCTACAGAATTACACATCTGTTCTCTTATGATCTTTGAGCTGTGCTCTTCGCATGGGTGCCTCCACATTAAACTCTATAGGTAAACTTGAGCAAAACAGTTCATCTCAGCTCATCATTATTATTAAGAGTTCAAAGTGGAACACTGTTTTTTTAAGAATTCGTCTCTGAAGCCTCAGAGGAGATCGCCTCAGCTGGCTGAACAGCAATTGTTTGGGGCAGATCTTACTAATAATGTTATCTGTGAGTATAGACCCTATAAATGGGGCCGTGTCATTGACAGCCAGGCAGGGAAATGCGCTGTTACCTTTGCTGAAGCTGCAATGGGTTTGCTATGGAGTCTCATACGTTCAGAAGGAGAAAGCATGTAGGTATGTGCACACTCATATATTCATGACAATGCAGTTGTGTGTGTGTGTGTGTTTTAAGAAATATAGTAATCACTTGTGTATGCAAGTTGAATCAGAATTGAAATGCCTGTTCCCTATTTGGTCTATCTCTTTGTCATGGGTTTTTACTGTGTAGTCCATTTGCCATCTGAACGCTACCTTTTATTTTGAGTAAATGCTTCTGAAGCGTAAAGTTTCCTGCCATGCACTGAAGATGAAAATTGGAAAGGGAAGGGGAAAAGATCCAATTTTGTATTCATTTCAGTACTGAGACTCAGCAGTTAGGAACTCAAAATACTCCACAGACATGTTCTTTCTGTCCTTTTTCTTTTGGTAATTTGTACAGCAGACTCGTTCATTACTGACTTTTATTTTTATTTTTTTTGCTTAACCTCTTGTTCTCTTTCTGTAAACAAAGTCATGTTGTCAGACTGTAATACCTCTGTTTAAGCTGTAATATTTTACTGCTTGTAAATATTATTTTGCATTTACTTGCAGCGTTCATAACTTGAATTAATAAGGCATTAACAAACATTATTGCAGACTATATAGTGTTTCACATAACTATAATGCACATTCAAAAAGTCCTTTTGATTCATAGGCTACATGTTTGAATATAGAATGTGAATGAAGTACAGATGTCTTGATGTAATGGCTTATGCATGAAAGCTAGTGATCTGTCTGTGCTATTGTAAATAAATGGAGCCATATTTAAGCTGACAGTGTCCGCTGCTGGCGGCTGCGCAAACTGCAGTGGCTGCTTCACCGGCAATGATGCAGACAGCTTAACCTCTCATTATTTGAGCAGTCTGGTATATCAGTGCTCATATGATTTATTCAGGTATGCTAAGGTAATTTCTTCCATTTTAATACAAAATGTCTTTTGTGAAAGTCTATGCATGCAGTGTGTACATTATTAAATGTAATTGCTTGTTCCATATATTTTTGTAGTATTTTCTCTTTAATCTGCTCAAGCAGTGTCTGGTCTGGAAATACCACTCCAGAGTTACATCGCCAGTCTATAGGTGGAAGGGGTTGAAAAACAGCAGGGGGGTGAAAGACTGAATATTTCATTGCAGCGACAAACAGCAGATGGCCCTCTTGAGTTTTTCTTTTTTTTTTAAATTCCTCCTCTGTGATTGTGTTTCTCTGGTGATATTAATCTAAATGAGAAACTACTCTGTGTTATTGGGGCATGATATTAAATTGGCACCCCAGCCCTTATCGCAACACTAATTACCATATGATTAAAGAAACAGGCGACAGATAAATGTCGGCCTATAGCAAAAAACAGGAGAGTTACATCGCCAGTCTATAGGTGGAAGGGGTTGAAAAACAGCAGGGGGGTGAAAGACTGAATATTTCATTGCAGCGACAAACAGCAGATGGCCCTCTTGAGTTTTTCTTTTTTTTTTAATTCCTCCTCTGTGATTGTGTTTCTCTGGTGATATTAATCTAAATGAGAAACTACTCTGTGTTATTGGGGCATGATATTAAATTGGCACCCCAGCCCTTATCGCAACACTAATTACCATATGATTAAAGAAACAGGCGACAGATAAATGTCGGCCTATAGCAAAAAACAGGCAATCATCCATACAATGCGTTACATAGGTGTGTTTGTCTAAAACACTGGGGGTCTCAGTAGCACCTCAGAGGGGTGATGTAGTCCTGCTTCATTTTGCACTCGTGGGGCGTGTCGGTGGAGTTGTGTGAAATTAATTTGTTAGAGTTTCGCATAAACACGCGTCTCATAAAGAGTGTGCTTAATTATCGTTAATAGCTACACACAAATAAGTGAAAAATACGTATTCTCAATTCTGTTATTTGGATTCAGAATGATTATAAATATTGGTATCTAAATATATTTATAATTATATATAAAAAATCTGTCGCCTTCCAATCAGATTCTGTAAACACTAGGCTATTAGACCAATTCTATTAGACACATCATTTTTTTGAAATATCTAAATGTTGTCATCGGCACGTTTGAATCTTATCAGCACAGAAAATACAAATATGTACGGACATAAGGGTGGGTTTTTCTCGTCTTTGAAACGATGGCAAAGGAGGAGTTTGTCGTTTAGACTTGTTGACGATCTATGAGGCTGAGGCGGGAAGCGCGTGGTCGTTAAGACTTGTTGATGCCGTTGATCTATGGAGGCTGAGGCGGGAAGCGCGTGCGCTTCACTCGCTCCAAACGGCTGGAGACGCTAAAGGAGCTCGAGCTGGAGGATGAAGAGGAGCATTTCTTGAATACGTTTTCTTTCCTGGCTAACGTTAGCACGTATGCTGCACATTTGTGTACTCCCACTTCGGGAAATACTTTTTTATTTGAGTTTATTTATTTGTTCGTTCCTGTCACATCGGGTAGACGCCATCCTCACCTGAGCCGCTCGGTGTTGCATTTCTCCCTCAGAAGACATGTTGCTTTAGATAAGGAAAAAACGCGACCTAGAACATGAGACTGAATGGGGAGTGATCGTCTGAGGAGATCCCTTATCAACAATAAACACCTTCGTTCGAACTTACCTCAACTCACCGTCGTTACGCCGTCGGTTATTCTCAAGATGAGTGGACGTTTGAACGGAACCGGCGTGGATATCTGCTAAACTTGGTAAATATGTGAGACACATGAATATGTGTAGTCGCAGGGCTCCACCTGGGAGACGAAGGTGGTCGCGTTTCTCCGCTTGACAGCTCGAAAAACGCTTTGTTTGCTCAGACTCCGGGAGTGGACGTCGCTGCCCAGGGTGCTGAATTTCACCAGGACCGGGTCAGAGATAAACGAAGGAAAGTGACGGAGCAGAGAGACTCCGTGAATATATTTTCACATTCTGTATTTGGAGGAGCCAGGCAACTCATGTGATAATAATTTTTATCTTCGAAATGAAAATCGGACAACATGTGAAATACGGACAGTTGAGTAACACTTCGCCTTTGTATTCATTATGCTAATTCAGTGTCTTATTTCGCCCGTCGTGATGTGTGGATATCTTTGATCGTCGTCCGTGCATTTCAGAGGGCAGAGCACACAAACAGTCGCAAAAATGGGACAATAATTGAGACAGATCGGGCGGTTTGTTGTTGTTGTCTGTGCTTTGTGTGTAAGGAGTTCAACAGCCCTGTTTTTGAGACATGGCAGCGGCGATTGCCAGCGGTTTGATCCGCCAGAAGAGACAGGCACGGGAGCAGCATATAGACCGACCATCCACCAACAGAAGGAGAAAAAGCCCCAATAAGAATAAAGGGCTTTGCAATGGGAACCTGGTCGACATCTTCTCCAAAGTGCGAATCTTCGGCCTCAGGAAACGCAGACTACGGCGACAAGGTGTGGGAAGTTCCGTACATAAGAAGTCTATGCTATGTTTAATGTCTTGAGATAATATACGCCCACATGTCATTTTCACATTCAGCTCTGACAAACAAGGGACTCGCGGCATGGAACTGCTGTTTATCTTGGCGAGAATAGCTGATAGGGTTTGTATAGACTTGTGTTGTGTCTTGACAGATTTCATTGACAGTCTGTTTTTATTTCCATCAGTCTGCAAATCTGTCTTTTTTTTTTGCGCCAATTGTTAAATATGTAGTGAGACCAGTCAGTAATGAGCACGTATTCAGCTTAAATCTATGTACGTCATACTTTCAAAATAATTCTCAAAACAATTCTCCGTTTTTGAAGGCCACATATATCAGAGCTGGATATTGTTTTGATTCAAACTAGATATATATGCATTGTTTGAACTATTCGGAGATTTGGCAGCCTCTCTATATTTGCTATACCCTTGGGAGGTGTTGATGTTAAATTATTGTCACGTTTCATGAATGCAAGTAAAGCAGCAGGTGCCCAACTTGTTGCAGGGGAAAAAATGCTATCACATCATCAGTAAACAACACCTAATGACAGCTTATCTTAATAGAAATGCCAAATATTCAGTTTAGGTAAGACTAAAATAAAAACAGTCTTTCTGTCACCACAACAGTAATGGAGACCTGTTCAGATAAAAAATGAAATTATGATGTGACTTAAAGATTTATTATTCTAAATGTAAGTATTTCTAGTACAACAATAATAAATTGTTTTCATATATCACATTTATATAGCAATTTTAAATTTTATAGTATGCAACATGGCTTTATAGAAAATCAGAAAATGATTGTTAAATATGTAGTGAGACCAGTCAGTAATGAGCACGTATTCAGCTTAAATCTATGTACGTCATACTTTCAAAATAATTCTCAAAACAATTCTCCTCCGTTTTTGAAGGCCACATATATCAGAGCTGGATATTGTTTTGATTCAAACTAGATATATATGCATTGTTTGAACTATTCGGAGATTTGGCAGCCTCTCTATATTTGCTATACCCTTGGGAGGTGTTGATGTTAAATTATTGGCACGTTTCATGAATGCAAGTAAAGCAGCAGGTGCCCAACTTGTTGCAGGGGAAAAAATGCTATCACATCATCAGTAAACAACACCTAATGACAGCTTATCTTAATAGAAATGCCAAATATTCAGTTTAGGTAAGACTAAAATAAAAACAGTCTTTCTGTCACCACACCAGTAATTGTTCAGATAAAAAATGAAATTATGATGTGACTTAAAGATTTATTATTCTAAATGTAAGTATTTCTAGTACAACAATAATAAATTGTTTTCATATATCACATTTATATAGCAATTTTAAATTTTATAGTATGCAACATGGCTTTATAGAAAATCAGAAAATGATAAGACGACAAACAATCAATCAATCTCTTTTTTTCAGGAGACAATCTTATAAATTGACAGTCACCTTATTATTCTAAATGTAAGTATTTCTAGTACAACAATAATAAATTGTTTTCATATATCACATTTATATAGCAATTTTAAATTTTATAGTATGCAACATGGCTTTATAGAAAATCAGAAAATGATAAGACGACAAACAATCAATCAATCTCTTTTTTTTCAGGAGACAAACAATCTTATAAATTGACACCTCAGGACAATCATATAGTAAATAACAGTCTTTCTGTCACCACACCAGTAATTGTTCAGATAAAAAATGAAATTATGATGTGACTTAAAGATTTATTATTCTAAATGTAAGTATTTCTAGTACAACAATAATAAATTGTTTTCATATATCACATTTATATAGCAATTTTAAATTTTATAGTATGCAACATGGCTTTATAGAAAATCAGAAAATGATAAGACGACAACAATCAATCAATCTCCTTTTTTTCAGGAGACAATCTTATAAATTGACAGTCACCTCAGGACAATCATATAGTAAATATGTTAATGTGTTATCACGAGTGTTATATACTCATTTTTAGAATCAGAAAATATACGTGTGCTGTGTGTGCATTTTTGGCCTGCAAGCAGAAATTATTATTTAAAAAGCAAACAAAAAACAAACAAACAAAAAACATTGTAGGCCAGCAGCTTATCCGATCGATGAGCTACAGTCTGATAAAACTATAATAGAGGTGGCGATTTGGAATACTGTATATCTTGGTACCTGTCAGAGATGTCCAGAGGGGAATCTTGCACAAATAAGTAGTGAGTAAAATATGTAGCTGTTGCCAGGAGAAACTGAGGGTGATGAATTAGCCCTGCAACATCTCGGCTAACGTGCACCTGTGACGGCCATCTTATTACAGATGGTGAACACCTCATGGCCTCCCCTCACACTCCTAGCGTTAACTTTTTCAGGAAACCAGCTTCTAATAAGGCTTGTAAGTCAAGCTTACCCACATCGTCACTATTTACAATTACACATGGTGAATTGAAAACTTTTAAGTTATCTTTAAGCAATTGCGGTTTAAGATGACTACCAGTGCTCACAGCTGGTTGGACGGCCTCTTTTGAGTCCTGTTGACTATTGCATTGTTGTCAGAGTTACTTTTGACGGAGCACCCCCTGGGATTTAACTCATTAATTTCCCATTGCAGCTAGATTTACAAAATCTTCAGTGAGAATTTTCACAGCCTTGAGGGCTCACCAGGGGCTCTATGAAGCTGAGCGTTAGCCTGCCCACCCTCATAGGTTCTTTCACATATGTGTGCTCAGGAGAAATGATGGTTAGTTTAGTGGTGGTAATTTAGTAGTGGTCACAGGAAGGACACTTTGAGCATAGCCTTCAAGCATAGCCTCCCATCATGCAAGGCAGTGAGATGCTACATTCGTCTCCATTTTAACTCTTGACTTTTAGGTCGTGACATGCAGACAATAGGAATATTCCCCTGAGTATGCAAAAGCGTGTACAGAGTACAGACCATGAACTAAGACATTTGCCTTGTGGCAGTGTAGTAAAAGAAATCAGAGAAGACAGCAGTTAAAAAAAAAAAACTTGCTCAAGCGTATATTCAGTGTCCTCAGGTTTGTCAAATATCTGGCAAAATGAGCAATGATGATGATAATAATGAAACTAGTGTGGACCTCAAGCCTGTGTTTTATAATTTGCCCAGCACACCATCCAAAAACATTAAACAAGGGACAGTCCTTATATACTGTTTCATATTGATTTATTTGACTTTCTAGACTCTCAAGCAGAATGCTATTATTGACAAGGCATTGGCGTGACCAGATCATTACAGAGATGTGTGTCATGTTGCATTGATTCAGGATTATCGTGCTGATTATTAGAGAGTTCTGTAAATGTGTAAATAACACTAGTGATAGACCCAAGTAAACTCACTTTACGTTTTTTTTTTCATGATTGTGTCTTCAGAGACAAATTTTAGGGATCATTCTTTGCTCATAGGGCAAAATTAAATGTGTCGGAGAACATCTTAATATTTTCAAGCAAAGATTTTTCTACACAAGGTCTTACTTTGGTTTGTAAGGTACCATTTAAATTTAAGATGTCAAAATGGACACAGACTGTTAACTTTAAATGCCCAGTCAATGCTGTAAGCTGTGATCAAAGTCTTAACTAAAATGTACATTATACAGTCTGACAGTTGTTGATGCACAGTCTGTTTTAGCTTTTACCCAAGATCTCACTGGGGTGATATTGTACAATGTGGCAAACAACATTTGTAAAACTGCAAATGACTTTAGGCTGGGATATTGATATCTCAGAATAATGCTCCCTATAGGTCAGCTATTGAAATTGATGACAGTTGGTATATTTATTCCAGCTAATTTAGATGCTGGACTGGACCCATATGCCATTTTGAGCCGTCCATGTCTGAATGGCACAATTCTAATAAAAGGAGGAGGTTGAGTTGTTTGTTAATGTCCATGACCTCAGAAAAAAAATCTGAAAACCATTTCCAGACATGAAAGGTCTCCATCAAGCCGGTAAAAATAAGTGCATCTTTCATTTATTTAAAATCTCTGTGTTCAAAACAGGGAGGTTATCTGTTTGATTGCATCTCAGAGTGCTGCCATGTAGCAATTTTTATCCTTTTTACTCCACAGGACATTTTATGTCCCTTGGCCATGAAAAAAATAAACATTGTTGTGAAGTGATTGCTCACTAAAATGTTCTGCTGCAAACTCAATTTATAAATTTAGTAGGTGAAAGGTTCTTATATAGCAAAACTTATAACTCTAACCTTGTATTAAAGTTTCGCTAAAAGCATGTAGTGAGCTAGGAAGGGTGCAGAAATCATTTAGCCATCTTTATCAATTAAGTGCAATGAAATTAGATTGTTTTGCAGTATTTATTGTCATTTTGTGCTTCTGCATTCATCCACTGTGAAAGTTCAGTGCTCTGATGCTTATTATCCGGATAAGTGATAAATATGACAAGAGAGTCTTCCCGGCAAGACATGGTTCAACACGCTGTTTGGACGTTATGTTTTGCGTCCAATTAGAATGCTCAGTGGAATGGAAGACCACCAGTGGAGACTAGCTTTTAATCTCTCGCTATGCTAAGTCTCATTAAAAAGTCTGATGAATCTTGCATACTCTCAATTAGTTCTGACTGAAAGTGCATAGTGCCTCCTTTAGACTTGAGTGTAAGGTGGTGCTTGTTCTTGACTGTGTAAATTACTGAGCTTGATGTCAATTCGCCTATAATGACTAAATTACTTTTCGGTTTTGCACATTTGACTTCCGCCACGTTCCACCACATAGTGATATATGAAGTGATATTCATTGTTATTTACAGAGGTGAAAGGAGTAGTGTGTGTGTCTACATACATATATTTATATTTATGTCTATATGTACTGTATATGTGTGTGTGTGTGTATATATATACAGGGCTCAAAATGAACTTTTTTACTTGGTAGCACTGGTGCTCCCAACTTTAAAAAGTTAGGAGCACCAGCAAAAATTTAGGAGCACCCACCAAAAATTAATGAGCGTTAACTACATATATAAC